GTTGCCTCCCTTGGAGCCATGCCCAGCTCCTCCTCAGCGTGGGGGGGGGAGGGGGCGCTAAACTTGTTCTTCAAGGATAACTCTTGAGGAGGAGCAAGAGCCTTTCTCTTTCTACGAGAGGTCACCAGCTTCCAGCCCTCCTCAACAGCGTTATGATGTACCGATGACTCCTGGAGCTGCACAGTCTCCGAGAATACCCTGTCAATCTCTTGCTCATCTTCTCAGATGCTATGCAGCCTACTGACTTCCTCCCATAACTCCTTTATTTGGCGATGCAACTTGTCAACCACAGCACACCTCGCGCAGGAGAGCTGGCTGTCAGCCCAGGCCTTATAGAAAGACCCTAGGTACTCCCTGCAGCCTGACACCTGCAGAGCTGCATCTGCTGTCAGAGGGTCTGTCTGGGTTGAAGCTTCAGACACAGGTGATGTAGCACCTCCAACAGCCACTGGGGAACGTGCTCTGTGGCGTGTCATGACCATACCTGAGGAAGCACACAGTACAAGAAAAGACGGTGCCTTCTTGCCTTCTGGCACCCTGCTATGCAAACTGCTGCACTCTGGGAGCTGTGCTCTGGGCCTGGCTCTTATATAGGTCTCTCCCTAGCAGTGACTCACAAGGGTGCTTGACCCACCCCAGTCAAGGGCCACCTGGATCAAAGGCCCCAACTCCCTCTCATCAGGGGCAAACAAGAGAGTATGGTAGCAGCACCTATACCTAGTTAGAGGTAACTTCCAACAAGGTCCACAAAAGTCCCAAGCAGAGACCAGACACTGCTGTGCAAACTGGTGCATCTGTTCTCTGCCTCTGTTAGGCAGTGAACTGTCTCCCCCTTGGCAATATTGTTCATGCCCATGTGAAAGAGCAACAGGGGATGCTGTTCCCCTGCAGTCTGAGGGATGGAGAAGCATCAGCAGTGTCTCCACAGTGTCCCAGATCCAAGGCCCAAGCAAGCAGCAAACCTCTTTAGACAGCAGGACAGATCAACAGATGGAGGCCTCCATACCCCATAAGAGACAGCCTCTCACTACCATCACATGCCACTTCCTTCTGGTGGTCCTGTATGGCGTAGACCCAACCAGCTCTGCTACTTCGTTGGACAGCGCTTCCAGCCCCTCATCTGCTATGAGTGCCCTGAACCTATTCTGTAGCTAGAGATCTGCAGGTGGAACAGGAGTCTTCCTCTTGTTGCCAGAAGTCACAGGCTTCCAGCCTTTTTTATCATAGGAGTCTCCATTTACCAACCCAATAAGCACAATCTCTGGTTACATCTCCTTCAATATAGTTGGGGGCTCAGGTACTTGTATCTTCAGGGTCTTGGAGAAGATCTGATCAGTCTCCTTCTTGTCATCTCTGATGCTGCAAAGTCTGCTGACTTACTTCTGCAGTACCTTTACTTGGTGACAGTAATGCACTTGCTAGCAGCACATATCTCCTACAGGCAAGGAGACTATGTCCCTTCGCCCCAGCCTCAGTGAAAGGCCCTAGGCATTCTCTGCATCCTGAGACCTACAGAGCTGTATCCTTCCATTGGGAAAGCCCTCTGGTGCTCCAGGGTAGTTGCTACAGCTGGCACTGGGGATCATGCCCTGTGGTCCATCACCACCATTGCTATGCACATTAACATTGCTCTCTAGAGAGGTGAACTGCTGTAAATGCTGCTGGTTAGAGCTGAGATATCCAAAGCTGCTACAGGGATTTGAATGTCTAACACTCAGGTACTATAATGAGAATTGAGACCCGTATTCTTTAGATGATTGCCTTTGATATCTCATCTTGAGTGCCTAGGTATGGAATTAGTTGCTTAACTTTGGGTACCTGAATTTACAAAATGTTCTCATGATTTTCTATAGATGGAGAAGACAGTTATTCCCAGATGCTGGCTAAGTAACGGCACGTCTCCCACATTTTTGCAATTTATTCCAGCTATCAGAAGGAGGCAGGCAGTGAATCTGAAGCAGTGTGACTTTGGATGTTAAAAGATAGTGGAAATGTTTAGGCCAGGGAGATCCACTGACTCTCAATCAAACATGGTACTTTTCTCTTCAGCAGCACCACGTTAGTATCTGAGAGTTAAAGAAGATCCTGTCTAATTCATATATTGCCACTGCTGTGAAGGTTTCTGTAATTCTATTATAGCCTTTGTACAACATCCATTTCCACTGTCCTTGTCCCAGATTGAAAAGTATTTTCAGTATCTGTCTGCGGTCTCCTTCTCCCACTCAATTCTTCATCTGTCTTTTTCCATTCTTGGCTTGAAACTCTGAGTGCTAGACTAGCAAAATGCAAATGGCAGATAGAAACCTTCTGTTCATGTGCAAGCCCCACAGATAATAACTAGAATAAAGAAATAGATGTGTTGTGTGAAAGAACCACTGATTTCACACTGCTTACCTTTTTGCAGCCTGGGCTTTAAGAACCCATCCTCTTGGGTCATGTAAGTATACAGTATTAGTGCCCTCTTTAGAGTTGGCCTGGTATCAACTTTTTGATGATAGAATACGGTCCACTATATATTGTGAATTCTTTCTGAGAGTAAGTTTATTGGAGGCTGTAGGCTTATATGTCTCCATTAATGCAGCCTGTTCGTTCAGATAACTTGCCAGGAGCCAAAAGTCTACTTGGCTTCCATGTCAGTTAAGCAGCTGTTCTGCTGGCATCTGTGCTCAAATGTGCAAGAGAGCAAAGGACTTAACAATAAGGTAGTTTCCATGTGTGGCTGGGTTAGTCTGCAGCCTCATCAATGTGCTAAGTTGCATGTACTCAAATGAAGATTACCACTGTACAGATAACTATGGTAAGCTCTGTGGAGAACTAATATATACATATATATATATATATATATATATG